AATTAGCAATGTAGTTTGAAGAAAGGGCTAGAGGCAATTTTAGAGCTATTCTAATTTGGGAGAATGCAAGTTGAAAATAAAGTTAGCAATATGAAGAGGAATGATTTTAAAATGGTTACTAAGTACAGGTCGGCCATCACTAATCCAGCATCACTGGGACCTGTAGTGTGCCGAATTAGTGAGTTTGCCAGATTACAGAGTGGTTACGTTAGAATACACTTAATTAACCTATCAATATAGAGTTTCTGCTACATCTTCCTCATTTTCATCACTGCCTTCTCCTTCACTGGCTTGCTGCTGTGAATTTACAACCATTTACACAATTTCTGAGTCAGTATAATGATGAAATTTGAAATTATGCTAGCTGAAATTAGTGCCGGATTACGATGGAATTGGATAACTTATTGCTGGATTAGTGATGGCCGACCTGTAATTTAGTGGTAGGAACTATGGTATGGGGTGTCTCACAGCTCCACTGGCAGAGTACTCTGCCAGTGGATGGTGTTTTATAAGTTAAATTTGAGCTTTCAAATTCTTAAATCAATCTTAACCAAACATCAACCTTGTTTTTTAGATACATTAAATTCTCTGCTTACAAGACTGTTTTTACCCACTTGGCACTTCAGTCTCAGCCTTGATTCTTCAGTGCTTTTTCTTTATAAAAAAAATTATCCAGGAAAGAACCAGCTAAATTCCAGTTTCATATTTGCTGATTGCAGTACTTTCTGTATATCCCACCTAGGATTTAAAAATTAAAAATAAAAATAGTATAGTGTTATTCAAGAGAATGAACAGTAGTCACTGCATTTAGGTTGCAACTAGAGTCATGGGATATTCCTATAATACTCTGCCATTTTACATCTATTAGTAGTAAACATACCCCAGCAATTTTAAAATTCTTAGCTAGTGATGCAGTAGCTGCAAGCCAAGGGCCTCCATCTGTAATGGTTATTGTATATTCACCAGTACTGTACCAAGTGCTCTAGCTAGGAGTATGGGTTTATCAGTGAAGCATCCTCTGGTTAAATTTTTTTGTCAAAATGACTGCATATTATGATCTCTCTACAGGTTTGCTACAGTATACAACTGTTACCCTAGGCCATATTAAGAGCCAGGAAAACTTAACCCACTTACCCCATCTCTGATAATAGAGAGGAAAGTTCTCTTGAACAGAATGACAAACTGCTTCCAGCCAGATGTGGGAAAGGAATTAGGAATATCATCAATACTCTCATCTTCAGAAGCAAGAAGAGAGTGCCGAGCTGGGGGCATGTTGACCATCGCATCCCCCTTAGTTACTCCAAGTGGACTGCTACCCCCCCCAGACTCTCTGTGCTCATCATCGTCTAGAGCTACTGATGGGGAAGGGATGAAGGAGAAAAATTACCAATTATAATTTACGTACCTTAATTTTAGGAACTGAATACTGTTATGTTATTTGCTTTATGCTTAGTATCACTTCATATCAATGTAAAGTACCAAACAAATATATTTTTTCTACAATTTATTCATGACCACACAAAATAGGTTACTACAAAGTTTACAGATATTCACAATCTTTAAAGTAGCCAGATTAATAACTCACCAATAATTTGCTGCTTGGCTCTCACCGCAAGGTGGTTGTCTGGACCAAGATTGTCGCATTTCCCACACCTCACTGCAGTGGTGAGCTTATAGGTAAACTCGCCATACTCTCCACTTGCAACTTCCATTACTAAAAGTGGATAATTTCACTATAAATTTATTAATTCATACCCCTAGTTAATCTAACATTAACCAAAATTTTCCCTCTTCTATATCTGGAGAAATCTTAATATCAGATAAGTAACACTAGTTACTGTTTTACACCAAACTGAGCTTTTATCCCTATTTCCCTCTTTATTTAGTAATTTTTTTAGTAATTTAAGCATACATACAGAGGTACAAAAAATACAGGTAAGAGCAGCATGCCAAAGCCACTTATATGCATAGCATTACGGGCTGGCTTAAAATTAACTTAAGATTAACTAAGCAATGATGAAATCAGTGATAAAACATTATTGTAAACAGATAACTATAAAGCACAAATGAGTATTACAAAGACAGGTCATATGGTTGCATGCATTGCTGTACATTCAGTCGAATGGAGTATTCTGTTAGGTAGTGTATTTAAAAAAATAAAGTTAGATTGGGTCCTAGGTCTAACATTTGTGTGATATAATTGTGAGTAACATATAGGATATACAATTTATAAGGTTCAGTTATTCAGTATTTATTTGGTTTTGAGTAAGTGATCTTTGAGAAGAGACTTGAATTTATAAACAGGTAGTGTTTCTTTTATATTTACAGGTAATGAATTCCAGATTTTAGGCCTTTTATGTGCATTGAGTTTTTGCATAGCGTGAGATGGACACGAGGAACATCAAAGAGTGATCTGTGCCTTGTGTTATGGTCATATGTTCTGTTGAGGTTGGCAAGGAGATGTTTGAGGGGAGGGTTAATATCAGAGTTAAGTGTTCTACGTATGTAATAGATGCAATAATAAGTATGGATGTTTTGTATGGTGAGTAGGTTGAGTGTTTTGAATATTGGTGGAGTGTGTTGCCTGTAGTGAGAATTTGTTATCATTCTAACTGCAGCCTTTTGTTGGGAATTAGTGGTCTGAGATGGTTAATTGTTGTTGAGCCCCATGCACAAATTCCATAGGTGAGATAGGGGTAAATAAGAGAGTGATATAGGGCCAGGAGGGCTGACTGTGGAACATAGTACCGTATCTTCGATAGTATGCCTACAGTCTTGGAAATTTTCTTAGAAATTTGTTGTATATGTGTATGAAATTTGAGTCTATTATCGAGGTGGATTCCTAAGAATTTTCCCTCTGTTAGCTTTGTAATAGGTGATCCGTTTATTGTTATGTTAAGAGGTACATCTGTAGCTCTGTTACCAAACTGAATGAAGTAGGTTTTGTCATTGTTTAGTGTAAGTTTGTTAGTCCTCATCCAGGTAGATATTTTCTGTAATTCGGTGTTTACAGTATTGGCTAGCGTGACTGGGCTCGGGTGAGAGAAGACGTATGTAGTGTCATCTGCAAAAAGTGTGGGTTTGAGTAATTGCAAAGCATTTGGTAGGTCATTTATGTATAGGAGAAAGAGAAGAGGGCCAAGGACACATCCCTGTGGGACACCAACTGTAATTGGTTGTGCGGAAGAGCTTGCCCCATTTGCGTACACATATTGGCTTCTGTTGCTGAGGTAAGACTTGAGGTAGTTGAGGGAGTGCCCTCTAATACCATAGTGTGACAATTTTACGTGGAGCAAGTCATGGTCAACTGTATCAAAAGCTTTACGTAAGTCAATGAAGATCCCCAGTGGGACTTCTTTTTTCTCTATTGCAGTGTATATATGTTCTAGCATGTGTATAATAGCATCATTAGTATTTTTATTAGGCCTGAATCCAAATTGGCAGGGGTTGAGAATGTTTTGGGAGATGAGGTAGGAGTAGATTCGTAGGCAGGCTAATCAAGAAAGAGCACAAAAAATTAGAAAAATTAAAATGATAATTTATCAGTTTTCTACATAATATGTACTATGTATTTCTAAAAATGGGAAGTTACAGGGTTATAGGACCCAACAGGTAGCAATTAAAGACTCATTATCTGAGGTACCTAATTAGTATATTAAACTGCTATGGGGCACAACTGCCTTAAATCTGTCATGAGAATTGATCACTCATAAAGGCAGATATGTTAACCTGTATTTCAATATAAAATAGGTTCTGTTGTAAAACAACACACACAAAGTAATTGCAAAGACAGTATTTTATAAGGTATAGAAATAGAAGAAAAATAATGTGGAAATTTATAGAGTTCAAGAAATTCCACTGGCTGAATTTGTTTGTAAATAAGTTGATGTGGAAGTACATAAGAACATAAGAAAAGAGGAACACTGCAGCAGGCCTGTTGGCCCATACTAGGCAGGTCCTTTACAATCCATCCCACTAACAAAACATTTGCCCAACCCAATTTTCAATGCTACCCAAGAAATAAGCTCTGAAAGTGTTGAATGATGAAAATATTTTCTTTTTGGGGATTTTTTCTTTCTTTTTGGGTCACCCTGCCTCGGTGGGAGATGGCCGACTTGTTAAAAAAAAAAAACTATCCACTCGTATGCAAGTCCCACTCAAATCCAACCCCTCTCACTCGTGTATTTATCCAACCTAAATTTGAAACTACTGGAAGTCCTAGCCTCAACAACCCAACTAGGTAGACTGTTCCACTCACCAACTACCCTATTTCCAAACCAATACTTTCCTATGTCCTTTCTAAATCTAAATTTGTCTAATTTAAATCCATTACTGCGGGTTCTCTCTTGGAGAGATATCCTCAAGACCTTATTAATATCCCCTTTATTAATACCCATCTCCCACTTATACACTTCGTCATGTTAGATGAAGAATGAGGGGAGACAAGTGAATGTAATTTAAGGGTCTTCAATCTTTCTTCATAAGGAAGATTTCTAATGCTATGTATTAATTTAGGCATTCTACGCTGAACATTTTCTAATGAATTTATGTCCATTTTGTAATATGGAGACCAGAACTGAGCTGCATAATCTAGGCGAGGCCTTACTAATGATGTATAAAGCTGTAATATAACCACTTAACTTCTGTTGCTTACACTTCTTGATATAAATCCCAGTAATCTGTTTGCTTTATTACGTACACTTAGGCATTGCTATCTTGGTTTAAGGTTGCTGCTTATCATAACCCCCAAGTCCTTTTTGCAATCTGTATGGCTAAGTTCTACATTATTTAGCTTACAAGTCCTAGGGTTGTAGACACTCCCGAGCTTCAGAACCTTACATTTTTCTACATTGAACTGCATCTGCCACTTTTCTGACTAGGTATTAAGTTTGTCTAAATCCTCCTGCATGGATGTTGTGCAAATGATAAGAGAGAGAGAGATGATTGTGGATGTTATGAATGAGAAGAAGCTGGATGTCCTATAGCGAGATTGTTTGGTAGGCTGTAAGCGGGTGGTTAATGATACGTCTTCTTCGGCAGGCTTCTTTGTTTATTGTTAAGTTGTGGTGGGTACACAGGCTTGTGTGTTTGTGCCCATGGCCCAGGCAGGGCCATCCCACGAGAGAGAGCTGGGAGTACTTGTGAGAGGTATGAAGTCATCTTCACTTCTTCATCCCATACGAGAAGCATCCGTCTCAACGAGTTATCCTGATGTCGTGTCTGCACTTTTGAGCATCCAGACAGGTACAAGCAGGATCCAGGCCGAAATTTGCCGAAGTTCTCCGAGAATTGTAAGTGACCCCACGCTATCCCACGCTGTTTCTCATGTCACGTGTTCAACGTCACTTGTATGTTGTTGCTGTTGTTGTTCAGCTCAGCACAGCTGTTTCAGCAAGCCAGAGGCGAGTTTTGTGGCGATTTCTGCGTCCAGTGTGAGTTCTCCACGTGTTTGTGGGTGGAGGAAGTGGCCGCTCCTTGCCTCGCCCTGCTGTACTCTCACACCTCACCAGCCTACCATACACCACTCACTACTGCCCACTCCCTCTGCTGTGTTTTCTGCTGTTTTTCGTGTGATTCATTGCCAGAGCTGTGTATCCGAGTGCCCGAGGCCACTCGAAGCTACGTGGATCAGCATGCCATGTAGATCAGCAAGCCACGTAGATCAGCATGCCACGTAGATCAGCATGCCACGTAGATCAGCAAGCCACGTAGGTCAGCATGCCATGTAGATCACGACACCACGTGGATCACAACGCCACGTTGGGTGTGGGTGATGTCACGTGGATCTACCAGCCACCTGAGTTACCAGATGTCCCAGGCCTCATGCTGTGGTCTGCTGCCCGCATCACATCGACGTCACCCACGATGCTGGCCAACTTCATGAAGTCACGATGTCTGCTGACGTCACCTCGCGATGTCTGCCTGACGTCACCTCGAGATGTCTGCCTGACATCACCTCGAGATGTCTGCCTGACGTCACCTCGAGATGTCTGCCTGACGTCACCTCGAGATGTCTGCCTGACGTCACCTCGAGATGTCTGCCTGACGTCACCTCGAGATGTCTGCCTGACGTCACCTCGAGATGTCTGCCTGACGTCATCACGCCTGACATCACATGATGTCACCATCGAGTGTTCAGTAATTATTAAAATATTGTCGAGAAGACTAAGAGAAGACATATGTCGTGTGTTAATTCCTCTCAGTCAGTGTTCTCACATTTTAGTATGTCTTAGTCAGTTTTATGCACAGAAAAGCATCATTTGCTAGTTAAGCCATGTTGTACTGCATGTACCGCGGGTGTGTTTAAAGTTTCCGTGTGTCCAGTGAGGTCTGAGCCAGACCTGAGTAGCACCACTGTGTTAAGTCACCCGTGTGACCAGTGTGTTTGACAGCTATCAGACAGCCCTGAGCCCGAGCCCCCTTGTACAGAAAGCTTTTATGCTCGTCGCTCGTGATGTTCTGCAGAATCGTATCTGCTACGATTCCCATCGAGATTTGTTTCACTTCACTTCCAGACCTTCAGAATGCAGTTATATGTAGAGAAACAAGTCTGGGGACGCTTAGACTAACCTCTGCTATAACTCCAGCTGCCGAGAGAATGATACTCGTCAAGCCACAGTCAGCCCTGTCGGCGGGCGCTGTGTCAGCCTCGTGTCACAAGCTTCAGTGAGCAGCCTGCACAAAGATGATGTCACTTTGACTGCTAGCTCGCTC